AGGAAACTAAGAAAACCAGCCGTCCTGTGTCACCGTTAACTAACATACGTACATGGCTTCTTTCTTCTTCTGCATACCAACAATAAGGGGAGTGTGACAAGTGGTATGTATTTTCCATATTTGTCTTGCGGTGCAGTTTCCAAATGGGCTCTCTAGAATTTCAACTGATAAGTAAAAATAAAGATACTTTTAATATTAAACATCATCATCTTTATAATTTCATTCTCGTGTGTTTGTGTGTGTGCATGACCAGTGAAATTGGTGTCTGATAACATATTAATTTGGAGACCCCCGACGACAGTTACTACGGTGTTAGTAAAATTAGTGTTCAAACCTTCTGATGTAGGCTCGACAATTGTAGAGTTCTGCGCTGTACAGGCCAATAAAATCACATCTAAAAATAACAGTAGGTAAGGGTTATTCAGTAAATCCAAGGACATGAAAACCTGGGTATTGGAAAAGGTGTGGTTGGCGACCTTTTCCTTAGTTTATCCCTATAAATATGCGGAATGGATTGGGTGGGGCGGGTGGGGAGGAAACAGCCGTCGGCGTGGTGGTGGTCGTGGGGGAGGAGAGGGGTGGGGAGCTCAGCCAATCAAAGTTAAACTAGTAAGCATGTGATGATAAAAAGGTAAGTTATAAACCGTGAAAAGATGCAAAATTTTACTGACGTTTCGTCCGAAACGTCAATAAGATTTTTCATCTTTTCACGGTGTATAATTTACCTTTTTATCATTACTGTTTCATTAGAAACACCGACGCAGCTCACACTAGATTTTAGCTAGTTATCTCTCCTTGGTAAGCATGTGTTTAACCGCGATGCAAACCACTTTATATTAATTTTGGGCACGTTTTATTCCTATACTGAAATTTATAATTACATACTGTTGTTGTCAGGCAGATAATTAAAACAATGGTGGTTATATAAATATGCAGTAACCAAATTCGCGATCCGAAGCCCTCGACCGAGAGGTAGAGGAAAATTATAGTAAGTTAGGTGGAGATTTTCGCACCATATCATCTTACGTGATAAATGTCAACTTTAAATAGATAGGTAGGTAGGTAGATAGGTAGATAGGTAGGTAGGTAGATAGACGATAGATAGATAAATAAACAGATGTCAAGGCCCTTGACTATGGACGTTATACTTTCAATCTCCGGCTTTTGACACAAACACCAACTGGGTTAAATTAATATATCGACTGATTTTTTAAAAATAAATCCTTGTAGATTCCAAGTCTTAATAAAAGAAATATAACCAATACATATATTATACATGCAAGTCGGTTAAATGAACGACATGTCGGCTCTAGTTCTACCCTGGGTGCCAGAGGCCGTGTGGGGCTCCACACGGCCTCTGGCACCCAGGGTAGATCCGTTTACACTGGACCAGAATATTTAACCGGATATTTCTAATTAGACATGATAATTAAAAAAAGACGACTCTACATCACCTGGCAACAAAACTCGTTTCTTGATAGTGTGGTCTTATCGTCGGTCAAGTAAGACTACTAAATTTTACCGACATTTCTTCCGTAACCAAATGTTTTAACAGCTTAACGTCTTCTAAGATTTCAGAGCATAATAAGCATTAACCTCTGGGAACAAAGGTTATTACTATTTCCCTTCTGTAGGACGGCACTGACCGTCAAAAAGCCATAAAGGAGAGCGAAAAAAGACCTTTACACATAGGGTAAAAATGAAAATGCAGATTACAGAAAAAAGCTGTAGAGCTAAAGTTAAAATGGCTCTATTCAACAGCCATGATTTAATTTCGTGCCTCCTGCGGTAGTGCGATGTTTTTTGTTTGGGTTGGCTTTACAGCGCCTGTTGCTTTCAGCGATTAAATCATCAAAAAATATGATTCTTTATATTTTTAAAGTCAATATTTCTTACCTAGAAGAAGGAATACAGTAAGCACAACCTTCATTTTGCCTTGGAAATGTTCGGATATTACGAAATAACAAGGGAGTTGGCTTCAGTAGTAACGAGCACTGATAAGCAGATGTTGACCTCAGTTGAACTTAATAGAACACAGGAAGCCCAAACAACGTTCTCTCTTTATACGCTTAATATTTTATTTCGATTTACAACCAAAACTTTATACAACGGACCTTTTAACCTCGGGCGTAACATTCTACTATTTCAGGCCTTGTGTCATTCCCTAGAATATCATTTCTTCGTTTAATAAATGTGCATGCGAAGACACATGAATATGGATGAATACAACTCAAATAATGAATCTTATTCTTAAGAAAATTACATGTGGTCTAAAATGGACAAACATTAGACCCTGAAAAAAAGGTATATTTTCTTGATTCAATGTTTGAGCCGTTAAGATTGTCTTATCGAATAGAAAAGCTTTAGTCCGTAGCACTAATGCCCTTCCGTGCTTATACTCAACCTAGAGTTGAAACCGCAATAACCAGTCAACCGTTGGGAGAAGTAGAGGCGTAGGCGTAGCTACCAGAGTGTGTTTGTTTTACAGTACAAACATGACATGTGTGTATACAATGATATACAGACCATGAAGGCAATTCTTGGAATTGACAAGATTTTCACACGCAAGTACGACAGGCGTTTAGTATTATGCTGATGTTTAACCAAAAAAAACAACAAAAAAAACAAACAAACAAAAAAAAAAAAATGCTACCGAATTGTTCATTGTTTAGACCATTAATGTTAAGGAATTCAATTTTCTTTAGAGCTGCGAATCCCTAACTATAAATCATAATTAAAACAGCAATTAAATTAAGCACGCAGGCCGGCATTTTCATCCCTACAAATTGAGGTCACCAATACATAACTGCAGTATAACTCATTACTTCGTTTAAGTGAAGTATAAATACCTTTTTCGCACTAAAATGCCTTCAATTCAAATACTGCGTGATAGATTTAAACGCATGTATATTTTTTTGGCTGTGACTTTACTATGTTTTTAACATTTTGGCTGTGTTCAACAGCCATCATTACGCGTTTTCCGAAAGGACCACGAGCTAAACTTTTTCCTTTTTCTTGGATACAGACTCGTACCCAGTCGCTTCTCTTGTGTTATTGATCTCACGCTGTGGTTGATGGGAAGGATTTAGTGAGTTCCCGGTGCATCTGGGGAAGGACGGAAGCAGACTCGTACCCAATCGCTTCTCTTGTCTTATTGATCTCACGCTGTGGTTGATGGGAAGGATTTAGTGAGTTCCCGGTGCATCTGGGGAAGGACGGAAGAGAACTTTTTCTCTCTCCTTCCCAAAAGCCACCGCGCGCCAAAAAGCAAATGACGACTGAGTACGAGCCTGTCTTGGATATAGGAAAAATCTCCTAATCCATCAAATCAATCTTAATGATGTTGCTTATTAATTCCAATTAATCTTTACTCTCTTGTTTAAAAGAGCAATTTTAGGTGAGAAAGGATGGCAAATTAATCTAATTCAGTATAATTATCATTTATCTCATCAAAACAGCATCTTCATGAACTAGTTTAATAATTAAACTATTTTGACCAATATTTCTTTGCACATACATAAAACACTTAACTTCGGTCGAGCGTATCTTTGAGCAGCCTGCGCTGCATCCGGAATTTTCTGTTGTAACGAGTAAACGTTCGGAGGCACGCAGGCTAATCTCTAAGTCGCAAGAACCATTTTCATGTGATATCTAAAAGACACTTATTTTAAAGACATGGCGGCCATTTTATCGTTGAAACAGGCATTTCTCCTTTTTATATTATTTTATATTACTTTTATATTACTTTTATATTATTTCATATTATATTTATATTCTTTTTATATAACGCTTCACGCTTCATTGTTAAAATGGTTGCTATTATTCTGGAGATCTTTTAATAAATTTCAGTATATTGCGTGTATTGTTGCAAGTCTTTATCTTCGTTTTTGAGCGCAACATCACGACATATCTCAAAAACGGAATTAACATTTTTCTCCCAAAAGATGATTTTTGGATCTTTATCCCCTATCGCTTATTTTGCATCCTAACTTCATCTTCACTGTTTAAACAGATTGCATATTTTAACGTTTTTCTTAATTGTTTTATAAGGTTCCAAGTTCTTTTTCAAACTCCTCAGCAATTCAGTTATACATTCTATTCGCGACGCAAACCACTTTATATTAATTTTGGGCACGTTTTATTCCTATACTGAAATTTATAACTACATACTGTTGTTGTCAGGCAGATAATTAAAACAATGGTGGTTCAAGGAGGGCTATTGCGTATTATGTTGTTATGACTTTGATTAAGAGGCAATGTCTGTAAAAATCAAACATAATCCTTGATACTTTCGACTGACAGGCTAAATCATATGTAAGATTCAGCTTGGGTTTTTCAATGAGCGCYTTATGCGAAACTCTCGAATTCAGAGAAATTTGGGTTGTTTGCGYTCGGCATGCGACGAAACCTGTTCGAGGCAGACATAACTATATCCTTAATATATTTTCTTGGTGTTCAGTTCTGAAATTTGTTTTGATATTATTATTTGTGTATTATGACAGCAGGAATGTTCAAGAGAATAGAGATTATATTTACGTCATTCACTACATTTCATTATAATGTTATGCAATATAATTTTAGGAATGATTTGTTTACATGAATAATGCTTTTTGTATATGACTCTGCAAGTCTAGCATGTTTACTTTAGTAACCGAGATTGTTTTGACTTGTAGATCTACTTGTACTTTCCTGTATTACATACCTCTTCAAATTAACCTAAACATTCAAACCACCAATATATGCAAATAAAAGTTATAAAAAACTTTAAATAAAAATATGTATCAAGAGTAAGCCTTCTTAAAAAGTAAGGTTTTAAGATCACGCTTAAAACACAAAATATCTCTGCATGACCTCATATGTGCATTATTCCGTAGTTCAGGCGCAGCATTTGAGAATGCTCTTTTACCATAGGATTTAAGTTTGAAAGAACCTTTGGTTAAAAGATTGGATGATTGCGATCTCAATTTACGAGCTGGCACATACGGTTTTACCAGTTTATTAAGATATGAGGGAGCACAACCATTCATAGCCTTGAAAGTTAATAAAAGTATCTTGTAGTCAATTCGTTGTTCAACAGGCAGCTAGTGTAGTTGTTTGTTGGTTAGTTGCTTGTTGGTTCTCTCCTGTGCTTCGAGGGTTTTCCGGGTTCTCCGGTTTTCCTCCCTCCGCAAAAATGAACTCCTAAATTCCAATTCGATCATGGAATGAGGACCACAGGTTTGTTAGCCACTGGCTATGAAGTGCTACCCTCGTAAAAAAAGGACGTTAAGTGATAGAGAATGGGCGTTATATGATCGTATTTGTGACCGCAGGATACTAAACGTGCTGCTGCATTTTGAACCTGCTGAAGTTTTTGAATTAAGTGTTTTGGCAACCCATACATCAAAGAATTACAGAAGTCTAATCTAGAGGAAATGAATGCATGAACTAGAGTTTCACAGGCTTCAAAAGAAATATATTTACGGATTTTCCAAATGTTTCTAATGTGGAAGAAACATGATTTGCAAATGGAGGTGTTCTGGTCTTCAAGAGACATTTTGTCATCAAAGATGACTCCTATATCACGAACTGATGATGAAGAAAAAATATTATGATCACAGCATTTGTTAGAATCAATATAGGTGGCCTGGGACGATGAGCAGCCGACAGTACAGCAATCTCTGTTTTGTCAGTGTTCAATTTGAGCTTGTTTCTAGTCATCCAATTATCAATTTCGCTTACACAAGGCTCTATTCTGAATTTGGCAGATTCCATTTCGGCAGAAGAGGATGTTTCAAATGTGATGTACAACTGAGTATAATCAGCATACAAGTGAAAATCAACATCATGTTCTCTCAAAATGTCCCCAATAGGTGACATGTACATCAGAAACAAAATGGGACCCAAGATAGAACCTGTGGCACACCACAATGCACAGAGCGACAGGATGATACACCACCCTGAACAGCAACACGAAAGCTCCTATCAGCCAAGTAAGATTCAAACCATTTCAAGGCCATGCCAGTCACACCAAACTTTGAAGATATCCTTTCTAACTAGATCTTATGATTAACCGTGTCGAACGCTGCCGAAAGATCAAGCAACGCCAAAACAACACAAGTATACAACGAGCAAAACTATAGAAGCCAAAATTCACTGAGTACTAGGTATGAACAATAATCAAGCAATTTATCTTTTAGGTCGGATCTACCGGTGTTTTTTATTCTAAATGTCCTAAATCTGGACATAAATGTAACTTTTTTTAGAACTTTGAAGTTATGTGGGCTTGTTCATAAGTATTATATAGATCGTGCCGACGCGTGTGTCGCTAAGCGCAAAGAAATACAATTTATTGCTCTCAATATTCAATCGACAAACAGACCGATATCTTTCCCACTATTCCCACTATGAGGCCCAACTAACTTTGAAGTGATACCAAACTTCGATTAAAAGACTGTCTAATCACGGGAGATTAAAACACATCTTAATTAAGAAGCACTTTGCGGAACGTCTTCCGTAAACGAATATATCTTCACTATGCCAATGTTGACCTTTACTGAACAATTCTCATGTCTTTGAGTCTTGTAAACAAATGTAAATTTGACTTCCTAACATTCATCCTGACAAATGTATTTACAAAATGCCAAAACTTAGAGCCAGTTGTTGAAACTATTGCCTATATCAATACAGTACCTTGGTCTCATGAAAGTATACTCGCGAAACTTATTGCATACTCGGGGAAAACGAACATTTATTTTTATACAAACTAAATATCTTAAATTCTTGGAAAACAAACTGAAAGGCACGCATGCGCAAACATTTTTCTCTAGTGTTTATCACAAAGGCATTTGGTTTCTTCCTCATTGCTGTACGCAAAGCTTTTTTGTCTCGAATTTGAACGGTAAGTACAGAGTTAAACAAAAGCTAAGATAAATAGTGGGAAAGATATCGCTCTGTTTGAACGTCGAATGTTCTTTCTAGGATCAAAAATATTATAAGAATTTTTTTGTGTGCTACTTTCACTCTCTTTGCATTATATTAAGCGATACAGAGGGGGAAATCTTATAGTTCATTAAAACAATATATTTAATTTTTAGTGGAGCAGTGTATAGGATAAAGGCAATGACAATTTTTCATTTTTTTACACTGTAACACATCTAATCTCTGGGGGAATTAGACATYTTTAGATGACCTTGTAGATAGCTATGCTAAAAAGCGTACATTGCAATGTAGTTAAACACGGTGTTCTGTGGTCCCTATAGAAAAGTTTCAAATTGTGTCGGATTATCGAACTTCAGCATTTGACTGAACGCTTGCAAAAGGCACTAGAACAAATACTGTGTTCGCCCTTGGGATTACACTGACAAACTTTAAGGATGTAGGATTAGTTGTTATCCATAAAGCGAGTTGGTGAAGTAACACCACAGCTTTTTGAATACCAATGAACTAAGATGATAACAAATGACACTTAATGACTCATTTCATTGAGGGTATTGTGACCCGCGTAAGGCGATAGTCGGAGTTATGTTTTGTGCAAACAAACTGTTGTCTTTATCAATTAAATTATTGGCTTCTGATTGGCTACAATCTTTTCTTTTCCGATTTCTGGCTACGAAATTTTTCTACGATTGAGATTATCTGGACCGAGTATAATCGCCATCCAATATATGACAAACCAAGCTGTTTTCGGATTCTTCTTCCAACGTAATGATAAAAACGCCAATCTCATATTTCAAGGTCCAATAAAAAGAGCACAGAGTAAACTAAGAATACTCAAAATATGCTGCTGATTACATGTGATTATGAAGTGATCAAAAATCCAAAATGGCTTCCTCTGCAAACAACATGCGTGGATTCTTCCAGTGACGTCACTTGGCTAATGCAATGGATTCCATTTTTACCCAAAACGATTGGCCCGGAAGCATTATCCGAAAAATGCGAAATCTAGTCACCCCAGTAGCTCTTCACGAGCTAAAAACGATAGAAAAATAATAGAAAAAAACTTCGATTTAAGGACTGTCTAATCACAGGAGATCAAAACACATCTTAATTAAGAAGCACTTTGCGGAACTGCTTCCGTAAACAAATATTGACCTGTACTGAACAATAATTCAAATCTATCTGACATAACGATGAAGCGAATTAAAAACGTCTCACTGGTCTTTGACTCTTTTATTTCTTCATATGCTTATTTCTCATTGGTCGCTTTATTTTCCAACTTAGTATGTATTCACCCCTTTCCATCTTTTCTTTTCTCTTACTCTGACGAAGGACTAACGGTCCGAAACGTCAGTTTCACAAAGCTTTTTACGGTGATTCAATTTATATACAAGTTAATTCCTGCTGCTTTATTCAGAAACACCTACGCAGCCCCCGCTAGTACTTTACTAGTTATCACCACTCGTTTGTCTTTTTACTGCGACACCCTTTCTCATCATGCCTGTTCCTTTCAAATTACTTCGTAAGGAGATGGTACTCACTTGGCACCATCAGTCCTCATCGGATAAATGAACGCTTCACTTTTAATAAGTCATGCTTGGCTTTCCATTTCTCACTTATTGTTTTTTTCGATCCTTTTTGTTTCCTTTTGTTTTTTCATACGCTGATTTCTCATGCCCCGCTTTCTATTTCTCACTTATTGTTTTTCGATCCTTTTTTGTTTTTTTTTTTCCCTTTTTTTAGTTAATATGCTTATTTCTCATTGGTCACTTTATTTTCCACCTTAGTATGTATTCACCCCTTCTCATCTTCTCTTATCAATTCATGCCTGATCCTATCAAATTACTTCGTAAGGAGATGGTAAGTTTTCTAACTACTTTTCCACTCTAGTTCCAACGTTGCGCTTAAGCTTTTTCACTTTACTCTAGATAAAACACGTTTGTTAATTAATCACATTAATTTTTTCGGTCGCTGTCTTCACGCTAAAGTCCTTTCCATTGGTTTTTGTATTAATATCAGTCCTTCCAACTTTGGTATTGATTCCACTAAGTATTTTTCTAATGTTTCGTCAGCTCGTAATTCCTTTTCCCGTTCAGTTATGCGTTCTACTATTCGTGCTATTTCCGATTGTGTACGCAATCTCTCTGAGGTTTGTCCTAATTAATTAGTCACCTCTATCCGTCATAAAATTCACAAGTTTAATCGCTTTTTGCATGATCATTTGTGCGCAGTTGATGATTACAATAGATAATATAATAAAGATAAAAAATACTAACAGAAACTAATTAATTACTATTAAAAAGACATCTATTAATAAAACTTCTTTCAAAACGCTCAGTTCTAATATGCGGTTAAATGTACGGATGCCCCCTATCTCTTAAAACCCTAGTTTTCCTAAGCGGTAATAAATCACTCAAAGGACTTTCTGAAGCAACAACACTTTTCCAGAGCTGCATATCAGAGTTATGTAAAACATTTTGTACCGGAGTAACATGTTTTATATCATCCAAATTTCACAGCTCTCTTTTAAAATCTATCAATATGACTCATATATTTATGATAACTCACTGAACCCCATAGTGAGATACCATATCTAAAAACAGACATGATCAAAACATGAAAAAAATGATGAAGATGATCTAAAGAATAACCGTAACACGCAAAATGTACATTCGTTTACCAGATGATCAAATTGGGAATCCCAGTTTGTAGGGTCACCATGGATATAAAGGCCCAACAACTTAATACATTTAACTCGTTCAAGTCATAAATAGCAACAGGCAAAGCTACCTTGCCTTAATATTTGTTTACTTAATATTGCGCAGACTAATATGCCAATATATGATCGAGTGCCTTTAACAATGATCTCTTTAGTTTTAGTCAAATTAATCTTCATATGATTATCATTTGCCTATTCCAAAATATTGTTCACTTCTTGACAAGAATGATAGTAACCCTGGTACCTTTTGCTGTTCACGTAAACGTTGCTACACTTTTAATTAGTTATGCTTTGCTTTCCATTTCTGACTTATTGTTTTTTTCGCTCCTTTTTGTTTCCTTTTGTTTTTTCATACGCTGATTTCTCATGCCCCGCTTTCTATTTCTTACTTATTGTGTTTTTTTTTTTTTTTGATTATTTTGTTCCCTTTTATTTCTTCATATGCTTATTTCTCATTGGTCACTTTATTTTCCAACTTAGTATGTATTCACCCCTTCTGATCTTTTCTTTCCACTTACTCCGACGAAGGACTAACGTCCGAAAGGTCAGTGTCACAAAGCATTTAACGGTGATTCATTCACAAGTTCCTGCTGTTTCAATAACAAAATAACATCGTTAAGCTTTGCTGGGTCCTCACTCACAAGCAGTATAACCACATCGAGTTACATCTTCTGGAACCTTTAACAAGCCCAAGAAATGCAAGCCCAATAATATGGCAAAGCAAAGAAAACTGATAATTCTCAAGCAATTCTAAGAATAAACTACCACTGGCATGTAATAACCCTGCATGTGGTCACAAAGTCTGAGCTTCTGTTATGACTTGTAGGACGGTTGTTTTCGTAGAGGTATAATTATCTGGCAATACTTCAATTATTAAAAGTATTCCCAAAAATCAAAAGGCAAATATAATTCCATGATCTAAACATGATAATCTACAGACTTCCAGTAAAAAAACAGACACATTTCCACTTGGTAATGCTAACCAAAACTGAAAGGTCAAGCTGAATCGTGCGGAAACAAGGTCACTAGGTCTAAACAACAGTCTGGCGTTCTCTTGTCACTAATTACACAATATATAATAATATTTTTATTACCATTCTAGACTTGTATATAGAGTTTGGGGCGCTACCAATTGGTCGAGTGACCAGTGATTATGAAACTATATTCACTGCTCGAGCGGTGGTTATGAGGTTCCCCAAAGTTTGTCAAGGCGGAAGTAATGCTAAATTACCGCGGCTTGGTAAATATTCCCCGATATTCATTTTGCTATATCGGGAATAATTGCTAAATAAGATATTCCAGCAGAGCGTACTACATGCAGCCCGATTTTAATACCATTTTTTCCTTGTAAATGCATAAGCCAAGATAAATAGACCAACTACGTCGAAAA